ACAACTTCCCAAGGAACATCGAAGAATACATCCACAGAATAGGGTGGACTGGAAGAGCAGGGAGAACAGGTATTGCAATAACTCTTGTCATGAGGACTGGAGAATTGCAACAGAATTAATCGATATACTGAAAAGAGCAAATCAGACTGTCCTGGAGGAGCTTAAGGGAACGTCAGAAAGATAAGGCCTATCAGCTGAAAAAACAAATGGAAAGAAAAATGGGAAGGCCTCAGAGAAAGCCCAAGTAGTTTTATTAATGCCTCATTGAAAAGTGCTGGAGAATTCAAGATATTGTAGAAATACATACTGGATATGGGAGTACTGGAACATATTGGCAGTTATAAAGAGACTTCCCGGCTTCTTAAAATAATAGTGTTTAAAAATGTAGAATTCAGTATTTTATACTTCAACAAAATGGAAAGTATTTAAATGTGAGTTAAATTTTTCCTAGATGTTAAGGAATATAACATGTAGAGATTCTTTTACTTAAAACTTTCTATTTAAAAAAAAATTTAAATTGTCTCCTGTAATATTGCTGTACTAAAGTCAGTCTGTAAGTTTAATGCTTGTTCAGATGTCATGGCAGTGAAAAAGATGTCATTAACAAAATGTTAATTTATGTGATAAAAAATATTAGAGACCATGAAAAGGCCCACAAAAGGGAAAAAACCCATGCCCTGGATAATTTGGCTCTGATGTTTTCACTATGAAGAAAGTCAAGTTGAAGGCAGGTAATAGGCAAAAGAACAAAGACTATGAGAACAGCAGCCCTGGGTAGAGGGGCAGGAAAAGGTTATTTGGCAGAAGCATTTTGCCAGAGAACAGAGCCCAGAGTGGCTGCTCTCAGGGTACACATAGGAAGGTGCTCCTGCCTGGGGATACTACCTCCCAAGGTAATAACAGAGACAAGAATAGTATCCCAGAGATAGATACAGAGTCTACTATAGCAACAGGATGCTCTGAGGGACTTATCTTGGGCCAAGACCACCCTGACTTGCTGTCACAGCTGTTGGAACAACTGCTCAAGCAGAACAGTCTGGCTCACAGAACCCCAGCTGTAGGACTGAGGTCTGGGGGCCAAGGACAGCTCACATTGAGGTGACTCCATAGCCAATTGGGACGAAGAACCTTTAAGACACTGATGCCATTTAGCCAGATGCTACAGACTACCTTGGTGCCAGTCTCATGGTAATAGGCCTTCTTCCCCTCAGTGCCTGTTTCAGAAAGGATCCAGCCTCAACCCTTGGTCCTGTCTCCACCATGGCTTGGCCCCTTTTCATGGCAAGGTAGGGGCATTAACCTCTTCTTGTTTCTACAAGGAGAAGCCATTTCCCACCTGCAGCCTCTGTTCTTGTTACTACCTATCTCCTGGCTGCTCAGTGAACTCAGGTTACTTACACCTTTAGTTCAACATTCAGCCAGTGTGTTCTCCTCACAGGAGCCCCCTCCACCACTGCTGGACTAAAGACCTTGAGGCAGAGTGGGATCCCATGCTGCTCATCCTTGGATTAGGAGGCCCTGCCCCAGAAGTCACATGGAGTAAAGAATGATAGCCTGTTTTCAGCACCTGGGCACTCTACCCTAGGGCTCATCCTCCACCAACCCACCACAGTCAATGAGTCCTTCGAGAGGTGAGCTCTGACCTTACCCCATAGGCATTGGGGGACAATAGGCAACACCTCTAGGGAAGATGAGCTCAAGCTAAGATGAGCTATTAGGAGTATATCAAGCTTATGCTGCTCACACAGCCACACTGAATTTTCCCATGAGCTTCTTTCTAAGCCATTAGACCAAACCATACTCCAATGCCAAAGCTGGGTCTATTTATAGATTCTAGAAGTTCAGCTGATGCAGAGGCTGCTGAGATACTTCATGGTACCTGGCCACACTAGCCCCTCAATCAGAAAAGCTGCTGTTTGAAGACCTAGTCTCCTTTCTAGAACCCATTCTGTTCAGAGAAAGCCCTTGTTCCAACAACCACGCCCAAAGTACATGAACTCAGGTCTAGCAGTGACCTTTTCTAGGATCCTGCCTGAAACATTACCTAGACATCTGAGGCAGCTGCCAGGGGGTAGCCATCCTAGTAACTAGAGAGAAATGGCTAGGGGCCTCATTACAGTGACCAAGGCCAAGACCCTACCTCTCTCCCCAGCCAACTTCTCAATTATCTAAGAACCACCCAGAGCTCAGGAACCCAGACCTCCTTAGGCAGTTGATTTGACCCAGGCATCCACAGTCCAATGCTGAGCAGAGACCATGCTCATCTTTTTTTTCCCCCCCAACCACACTTTACAGCCAACATCAGGTTCCTTTCTAGCCCAAAGGAGATATTTCCCAAGTGCCACCTTCCTGTCCCCCTCCCATTCTACCCTTCATCAGATGGGAGGCCTGCACAGCTGCACCCTAGGAGCTTCTCATCCCCACAGTCCTCCCTCCCTTGATTGTGGCTTAGCTGAGGACCATGCCCATTTCAAATTCTAAGAAGTACTGTCTCAGAGCTTCCTCCCTTGGGAGAGGCTGCTATGACCCACACCCCCTCAGGAACTGTGTCCAAGCCAACAGTCTTTACATCCTGAGCTCCAACCACTAGATAACCCCATGCTGAGGGCAGGCTGGCCCTCAGAGCTCCCACAGTTTCACCCCAAGCCAGAAAGTCATCACCAATTTTCTCTCTTCCCAGAGCAAGTACATCACCTAGAAAAACAAACCCTAAGCCCCGCCCCTACTGCCAGAACACCAGGCCCAGTGGGCAGAGCCTTCAACCAAACCAGGGCGGCAGGGCGGCAGGGCGGCAGGGCGGCAGGGCGGCAGGGCGGCAGGGCGGCAGGGCGGCAGGGCGGCAGGGCGGCAGGGCGGCAGGGCGGCAGGCTCATACACCCATCTACCTAGCTAAGGCGCTGTATGAAGGTTTTTATAGGGCCCTGATCCTGCTCCTTCTACATCAGCTGTTTGCAAACCTTTAGCATGCATAAGAATCACCTGGATGGCTTGTTAAAATAAAATCGCTGAGCCCCATTCCCAGAGTTTCTGATTCAGTAGGTCTGGGCTAGAACTGGAGAATTTGCATGTCAAAGATATTCCCAGGTGGTTCCAATATTGCTAGTCTGAGGCTCATACATTGAGAACCACTGTTTTAGAGTCTCCAGCGATGTAAAGGGCCAGTGCCTATGACTTCAATTAAAGCACAGGTGGAGCTGGTTTATGGGACTAACTTTAGTACTTTGCGGTTGATTCCTTGGGATTGAGTGAATAGAGTGATCTACCTTGGTTTTGAAGGGCTTTGGGGTCCCTAGGACTTCAGAAAACCCCAGGGGGTACTGCTATCATTTGGGAATGGGAAGGCAGTGCTGGGTACTTGATATTATTCCTGCTTCCTGGATCAGGGTCCTGGTTGGTGGGAGAAGGAAGGCAGAAGAGGGTGTGGGAGTATGTAGAGCACATCCCAGAAATTCCAAGAGCTGGGTTATAGGTACAGCTCTGCCACTAGCTCCCTCAAGGAAACTGGTGAGTGAGTTGACCTCCTTGAATCTTATTTCACCTCAAAATGCTGAGAGTGGACCACATTTGTCATAAATTCAACATTTATTGAGGGCTATTTTTGTGTCAGTCACTGTGCTTGGTGCTGGGAGGCAGAGGTAAAGGATGCTGCCCTTTGCCCTGGAGAAGTCTGCAGCCTGGTGGGGGAGTGACTGGAACCTAATGATCAGGATCCATGCAGCGAGTGAATACATTGGTAAGAGCAATGGGGAAACTCTCCTGTTGCTCTCTGTAGTTCCTTCCAGCCCTGGACCTGAAGAAAAGAGGAAGCTAGAGGGGGAAGGCTGACACAGCCATTTTGAGGCAAGTGGTCTCCCTAGCTCTGGAAAACATGCACACCAGCTTTCAGAGGGAAGGGGTGATATTTAAAGTAGATGAAAAATCAAACTTTTTAAAACCTCTCCACTCATTTATGCCTAGTTCTAAGGAATACTGTGAGCCTATGAGAGCCCAATCTGTTTTTATTGTTAATACCAATTTATAGTTTCCCAAGCAGCACATAAGTTAAGATACCCAGGCTCCATCCCAGACCAACTCAAGCAGAATCTCTGGGAAAGAACTCGGGCATCAGGAGGTTCTCTGCAGAATTCTGGGTTGGTTGGAAATCACTGGTCTAGATTAGGACGAAAAAGATTTCTGACAAACGCAGTTGGGCCAGCGCAGCTCCAGTAGGGGTCTGAGGAAGGTAAAGCACCCCATGTGGCCACTGGAGAGGGAGAAGAAGTGAGAGGGAGGGTGGGAAGGTGGCTTGAACCAGTTTCACAAAAGACTTTCCTTACAAAACTGAGGCATTCGGCTTTTTTTCATGGTTAATGGGGAGCCATTGATGGTCTCTGATGAGGGACATGATGTGATCAAAGCTGAATACCAGCCACAGAAGCCTATGCTCCCTCTTGTCTCTTCTCTCACTCTTAGATTTTTATTTCCATCATGTGACAAAAGGAAAAGGGCTTGGCCCTCATAACCCATTCTGTCAGAGGATGCAACTTTAGGAGGAATATTGATGGAGAGGTGAGAGAGGAGGTGTGCCCCAAGCTAAGAGATTAGAGGAGTGAGAACTGTCAGAGCTGATACCTGTACCTTCACAACCATTAAAAATTCCGTGTGGCCTTCGGCAAGTAGGTTAGCATCTCTGAGTCCCAGCAGTCAAATGTAGCTCCTCTTGCCTGCCCAGGAATACACAATGTTACAGAAGCATGTTACTATGAAAAGGTCAAAGCTGTACACCAAAGCAAAGTGCATTTAGTAACCTTTGCTGAGCCCAGCTGGGCAGGTAGGGCTGAAGGACCAGGGAACTGGGTGATTGGAAGAACATTTGAACAAGATCACTTCCTTTTAAGTCCCAAATCTGGGCAAAAATGTAAGAGTGGTAGAGTCAGCACATTTATTTTCATGATCCCAAGCTCAAATATGAGAAGACAGTAGCAGGGGTGATGTTGGATAGAAAACATGAAAAACATCGATAAGAGCCAGATTAATATTGCAAAAGGGACCAGGCCACAGGTATAGAGGAGGGAAGCAGGATGTTCAGGTACCCCTACTAGATGTGGCTTATCTGGAAACATGCACACATGGCTTTAAGTGGAACTGCCTGAGAACTAAAGGGCTGAGGAACAGGGGGCAGAGGGTCATGATGAAGATTTTCCTCTTAATTCAGGCCCTAGTTTTGCTGTGTGACCTTGACACATGGTGCCACCTCTGTGGACTTTGTTAGTGCTAATTCACCTGCTCTCCCTAATTCAACCAGACCTGGATGATTGCTTGGGTCATTAACACATTGCTCTTATCAAATTGGTGATGTAAAATGGTTAGATGAGCCTACAATGGGTGATGAGAAATAAAAGACCAATTTAAATAACAAGAATCCTTCAAAGCGGTTCCCTTGGGTTCCAACCTCACCTCAGTCTCAGGCCCTGAGCCTCAGCCTGCCTGCCCGCAGTCTGCAGGGCTCCCGGTGCTCAGCCCTTCAGCAGCCCAGCTGCTGGTCCTATCTGATCTACCTGATTGTGGCTCCTGGCTTGGGACAAGTCCCCCTTTGATCCCTAGCTCTAAGGACTGACTGGCTGTCCCCAGATGTGCTCACTACAGAGCCAAGGAGTGAGCCAGCAGCCTCACCAGAGAGTACAGCTGTAAGGCCTCAGTCTGCTCCTCTAACCCTCCCATCTTCCACTTTCCTCTACTATATTCACATCCTCAATTGTGCTGTGAATTTGGGAACCATAGCTTCAACTTGGCTTGCTTTCCTCCTTTTCTTTCTAAATTTGTTTTTCTAACCATTATGCCAACAATCTGCAGTAGTAGCACACACTGAAGTTTACCTTATTTTAATGACTGCAATGCTCCTGCCCCCTAACCAAGATACCAGGGAAATGAAATGGCAATTAAGAAATTTGACTTCTCCTTCTACTTTCTTTTTCACACAATTGCTTGAGTATGTCAACCAAGAAGAGGTGAGAGACCAGACTGCAAAGCAGTAAGGCAAGGTGTTTATTGGTGGTCTCAGGAATTGCAATTCAGGAAACAAAGATTTGGGAAAGGCCAAATCATGTCCTGAAGAGAGAAAAGGGGAGTAAGGATTTTTAAAAGGAAGATAAGGGTAATTACACGAGTTGTTTTGAAAAAATTATTATTGGTAGAGGCTGCTGGCTTAGTATATGAGTTCACAGCTCACTGGTTGTCGCTGTTCAGAAGTTGTAGCACTGGTGAAATTCATCTGTTTTCCAGGATGTTGTGGTCTTAGCAGTTTGGCCCAGTCCAAAGATTTGAGGCAAGTCCCAGTTTTATTTTTGCAAGGTTGCAGGTTGTGTAGGTAGTCCTTCTTAGAATAACTTTTCGACTTTATTTTAGAGCTCTGAACCAGAGTGATGCCATTTTGTGTATCACATTTCACAAGTACTTAATAGGAGCCAGGCACTTCCACAATGTCACCTTGCCTGAATTTGCACAACAGTACTATGAAGGAGGAGCATACAAGGGCTCTGAGAGTTGCTCACCTGGAGTCACGGAAGTGGCAGAGCTAGGATCTTCATCCAAGGCTATGCTCTTCCCCAGCAATCCCATGGCTTTGCTTCCAGAGCTAAGTTCCTCTCTAGCCTCAAAGTTCCCCTGGACAATGGGTGTGGTTTGCTTTGCCCCCATCAGGGTGGTTGTGAGGACCTCAGGAGGGATAACCTGAGAACCCCATCAGGTTCCTTGTGGTTTTATCCCAGCTCTGTAGATAGTGGAAAGGCTTCTTTCCACAGCTCCCCCTCCCCTGTAGCCATGGGGGCAAGTCTCACTCCAGACTGTGAAAACTACATGACAGGACCCTTCTAAAACCACCTTGACACAGAGGAGCATAGTGAGGGATTGAGATTTGGAGTTCCACACAATAGGTTTGAATTATGGCTCCCACATTCACTGTGTGACCTTGGGCAAGTTGCTTAACCTCTCTGATCCTTAGTGGGGTTTTTTGCTTATTTTTAAAGAATCTCTTAAATGGGGATAATGCTACCTCACAGGGTGGTTGTGAGACTTCAACATGATAGTGAAATAACAAGCTCATCAGGTGGAAACCCCATGATTTGGGGTTGGCAGCATTAATTTGCCAATTTGCCATAGACAGAATTTAGCTGTGGAGAGCTTGACTTAGACCCTATCTAGGGGGTCTAATTACCAAAGGCCAAAGAAGAGGCCCCGTGCCAAGGTGGTCTCACTTATGAGATGCTTCCAAAGAGTGACCCCAAGGCCTTTGACCTACAGACCCTGATGAAGCCTAACCAGGCTGTATACTGTGTAGTACAGTCCAAACCTTCAGTTCTGGGGGGGTACTCCTAAACCCTTCCTTCCCCCATCCCAAACTGCCTGGCCTATGATACCTGCTGAAAGCCAGGTCCCTAGACGTCAGCCACCCTATCTAGAACTTTGGAACATTTCCACACTAGCCTTAGAGCTTAAAGGAGCTTCATCAACCATCTAGTCCAGCACTCCTATTCTACATAGGAGGCAATGAGGGTCACAGAAAGGAAGTCACACAATTCACACAGCTGAAACCCATTGGGGCCAGGACCAGAGAACACAGGCTCCCTGACTCCCAGTCCAAAGCTCCTTTAGTCACTCTTTGCTGGCTAAAATTGTTCTTTTCTTGAAAAAACACCAAGAAAGCAACCAGTTTGCAGGCCAAACTGGAGGGTGGGGCCAGATTGGGCCTACTGATAGATTTGCTTTGCCAGTACCTCTCCCTTCCAACTCACATTTTATATTTTAATTTTCAACCCACATTTAAAAAACAGGAGATTTTGCATAAAATCCATATTCCCAGTTCCCCTTGATAGGTAAGTGAATATGGTAACACTAGACCCATGTACCTATGTGATATTACTGTCTGCTATTGTCCAATAAACACCACCTATATTAGACAAAACATGCATCTTTGATTCTCCACAATTCCCACAACTCCCTATAGCCTCACACCCAGCCAGCCTCACTTACTGTAGATTACCTGCCTGTCCACTATAGGAAGCCCTTTGAGGGGAGGGTCTGTGTGTTTGTGTGTCCTCATGCCCTTTCCATCCAACCTGAACAGTATCTGGCCTAAGTACTGCCTAAATGGCAATAATGACCACCCCCCAGACATTTGCCCTGCCAGTGTTGGCTTGCAAAGCATTTTCCCAGCTTTCTAAGACAATAGCCTAACTGCTTCCCAAAGCATGGTGAAGTGTGATGGAGAGGGGAAGAATAGGTACTAGCAGTCTCATCACAGGTGAGGAAATGGTTTAGCAAGTGGGGTGGTGGGATTAGAACTAAATAAACTGTAGTTTCTCAGTAGGTGGGCTTTGGGGGTGCTCCCTGCCACTAGTTTGAGTATTAGAACTGAGAGATAGGAAACAAATTGGCCCTGCCTAGGTCGGGGGGTGGCTCTGAGGCCTTACCTGATCCCAGCATTTAGAAGAGGCAGCTTTGTGAGGTGGAGCAGAGCTGGCCTTCCAGCCGGACACTGTCCTCCATTGCCATCCCAGCTTGTCTCTTGAGCCACTCGGGGTCCTGTTGAGGGGGAGAAATGGTAAGTAGGCTTGGGGCCAGGACCCAGCCCTGCATACACAGTTGTGAAGAGAGCTGTAGAACATTATTGCCTGTGCATTATTGAGAATTAGTGTACTCTGTCAACCAAAAATTAATGACAGGACCCAGAGAATGGCAAGGCAAGATTGCACCCTGGGCCTGTGGAGCGGACTGGGGCCAAAGCACACAGAATGCCTATAAGAGGAGAGGCGTCGGGTTTGGGCAGGTGGGCCCAAGTTGCAGGAAAGAGTACACATATGATCACCCCTAGAAAGGAAGAGTACACAGGAGTATTTCTCTCTTCCTCTTTCTACTCTTTGATCTTTCCTCAACTTCCCTGTTCCTGGGTGCCAATATCTTTTCCTTCCTCCCCTCCTTCCGTCCCTCATCAACTCTTTTCCAGTCCCAGCCTTCTTTCTCTTTCCACCTCCTTTTCCTCTATGACCTGGAAGAAGGCTGCTGGTAGGCTGGTTGACAGCTAAAAGAGGCCTCAAGGACAACTCCAGGTGCCCAGATACTCAAGTGCCGAAGGTATCATTTCCCAAGATAGGAAAAATCTAGGGGACAAATATTTTGGCAGGGCAGTGGATGGAACCAAGAATCCTGTTTTAGTCAGAAGTAGTTTAAGACACTCTCAGACATCTAGGTGGAAATGGAGAAGGAGTTCATTATCATAACCATAGCTAATATTCATTGGACACGTTCTATGTCACAAGAACTTTAGGCATTTTTACTCAGTCTTCACAGTGATGCCAGAAGAGAGACACTACTATTATCTCTGAAGTACAGAGGGGTTAAGGCATTTTTCCAAGGTCACACAGCTAGTTGGTGGCAGGACTGGGATTCAAGCATTCAACCTAAATAAGGAAACTGAGGCAAAAATAATATAGAGAGCTTATTTGGGCCAAGGTTGAAGACTGCAGCCCAGGAAACACTGGAAAATCCTCTGGAAAACAAAGGAGGGGCTCAAGTTTTTAAAGAAAAAAGGACAAATCAGGAGAGGTGGCAATTACAAAAGTCATTTTTCAGGAATTCTCATTGGGTTACAGAAATAAAATTGATTAGTGATTGATTGGCTATATATTGTTGGACTATAGGTATGAGTTGTGATGTCTAGCATGTGGCATTGTTGGGAAAATTTATAGTTATCGGTGGCGACACTCAGTCAAAAGTCCATATAGCAGGTGGCTTCAAAATGATTACTTGGCTCAGGGGGAGGTAGGACATGACTGCGGTCATATTTCAATGCCTCCCTGGACCTGATAATTTAAAGGGGGCTCACATTCCTCAGATAAAAAGTTTCTGTTCTTTCTCAAATCCCAGGTAGTCAGGCCCTAAGCCTGTATTCTTAACCATCACATTGGATATATGAGTAGTTTTCCCTGAATGGGGAGATTAGTAGGGGGTTTTATTTGCTTTTTGTGCTTATCTCTATTTTCCAAATTTTCCACAATGCATAGGCATTGCTTTTGTAATCAGAAAAATAACATACATAAATTTTATTTTTATTAATAATAGCATTTCTCAAGGCCTCTCAAGTCAGTCCCTAGATACCGCTAACCTATTTCCTCTTCAACCCATGTCAATCCCAGTGCCATCCTCCTAGCAAAAGGAAGGAGGAGGGAGAAGGCAGCTGACCCCATATTTACTCCTTTCCTGCAGGTGGGTAGGGGGATGTCAACATGGCGCTGCCTCTCTTCTATCTTGTCCAACTCTGGAGCTGTGACTGTGGACACTGGGTGTGGGGCTCCCCTCCAGCTTCTCTGCCATGCTTGGCAGCTTCTTTGATTCTTCAGGGAGTGGGGGGAAGCTCCAAGCCACTTCTTGCCCCAACCTCAGCTTTATCTGCCCATAGAAGCTGGGCTGGCAGCTGGGCCAGAGCCAGGCCAGTGCCATGGAAGGGACCCTCATATGCCATTCCCAATGCTCCTTGACCCTCCCAAAACATCATCTCCATCTCTTGGTATCAAGTTCCCCTGGATTAATTAGTATTCCCAGACTGGGACCACAAGGATGCTGCTTTACTTTCATCCTAACAGCTCCAGGTAAGAGATTTGCCTATGCCTCCCCACTCCTGGCTCTCTCCTGGAAAGACTGGGGTGAGGGGGACAGGAAGAAGCTAGTGCCTGTGATAGGGAACAGAGTCTCAGGGGGAAGGCTGGGGTCTGCTGCCAATCTGCATGCTTTGCTTGCCTCCTTCCCAGCAGTGGGTCGAAGGTGCTGCACCCTCCGTACTGCCAGCCAGGCCCCCACTCAGTGGTGGCAGGGAACTGTGTGCAGCCAATAGATGGCATTTTCTGTCTCATGAAGCCAACTGGCCTAGGTGGCTTTGAAGATTTATGTACACACACCCCACACACACCTCAAAACAACTCAGCTTCCAGCTGAGGGACAAGTAGCTGAGCAAATTATGGTGTATCCATTCTATGGACTATCACATATGCATTGAAAAGAATGATGTAAATTTTTGTGTGTTGACCTAGAATGACATCAACATTATAGTAAGTGGGAAAACAAGTTGTACCATAATATAAAACATACTCAGTTTTGTTTTTTAAAAATAGATATTTTAGTCATGTTGATATAAATTGACCTATCTGCACAACCTTTGGACGTGATTAAGAAATGTACCCCCAAAGTATAAACAGAGGTTAAGAAGTTATCTGCAGTGCTTGGGGAAGGGCAGGCCAGGAAGAAATGAACATATCTTGTTTTACATAATCAAAAAAAATGATGAGATTATAGGTTATTTTTTTCTACTCATAATAAATCAAACTTTATAAAGAACTGAACATAGTGGGCACATTTATGCCTTCAGACTCTAGCAATGACTATATATCAGATGTGGAACAATCCTGTGGCTGGTCATAAGTGGCTGGGTGTTCTGGCCCTGGAACAGTGTCCTTCTCCTAGTAGTGTCAGGAACACCCTTGACAACCACTGGCTAGTAGTCAGCGTGGACAGTTGGCCCAGGACTTCTTTGCAGAACTGGCCTCAGCTCAGGGAAGATTTGATGATTCATCAACAATTATATGTCAGGTACCTCCTAAATACCTCCTAATATCCTTCTATGGATCCTTCTATCACATTTCTACTCTGTGCTCTAAAGGATCCACATTGAAGAGAGAAGCCTCTAATCTACTAAGTCTGTGAGATTAAGTCTGTGCCTTCTTTCAACTTTCAGGCCCCCGATATGTGCCAGGCATTATGCTGGGTGCTTCCATTTCCCCATATTGACATGGATGTGTAACTATTTTCTGGAAGGGATGAGACATCTGGGATGAGACACACTTGTCGAATTTGAAAATGCACATGGTAACATATCTATTGTTGTTGCAATGCAAACTGCAGAAAGATAGGTTTGAGGAGATATTGTCTGGTAGAAGCCATAGAAAATGGAGAGTGTGTGTTTTCTTGAAAGGGTTGGACATGCCAATCCATTCAATGATGGAACTCATAGTATAGAATGGGGCAAAAAGTTTCCCAAGACAAAGAAACCGAGGGACAGAGGGAACTGGTCTTTCTTTTGATGGAGAATTATCAGGAGAGGAGCTGATGGTGATATGGGAGCCTTTATGGTGCAAGGGGGCCTTAGATCCCTGCTAGGTTGAAGGTGGTATTTATAGCCATAGGCCCCAGTGTGTGACTGAGCAAGCACTCCAGGTGTGTGCTGGATTTGGCAAGCTTACCCTGCTGTCCTCCCAAAGGTCACCATCTTCAAAGAAGTAGGAAATCCCATTAGTCAGATGGGAAAACTAAGGCTCAGAGAGCTTAGGAGGGCAAGTTAGAGTCGAGGTAGGGGATCTCCTATAGTAATCATTCCAGCTCTGGGCAATCATTGGTGCACTTGGCCTGACCCTACTGTGACTCCCTGGCTACTCCTGTCCCTGCCCATGGGTTTAGCTCTCTGAAGAGGAGGAACAAGGTTGCACAGGCCCAGCCCCTTCCCCCAGGCAAGACCTGGAAAGCCCCAGAGAAGGGGGCAAGTGAGGGCAATGGCACTAGTTCTTAGAGTATAATGATAATGGCTCTATCTGCCATGCTTTGGCCCAGCACCAGGAGGATGAGGAACAAGGGGGCATGGGAACAGATCTGGGTAAAGGGAAGGGTGGGTCTTGATCCTGCTCTGCTGTTAACTTTCTCTGTGGCAATAAACCAGTCCTCACAGGCTGGAGGATCAGGAAGTGATAGAGGCCACAGTGAGAGTCAGAGACTGTCACAGTAGGGATGTCTGTCTAGTCCCACCCCCTCCTGTATGGATAAAATACTGAGGCTCAGAGCTGAGAATGGTGGTGGGAACTTCTTCCATGATCCTTTACAAAAAGGATTCCTGAAAGAGGTGGAGTCTGAGAAGGGGACAGGGCCAAGAGGTGTGAACATCTTGGGGAGTGGTCTGTGTGAAAGGATAGGAAGGCAGTGACCAGGGAGCTCAGGAGAGGCCAGAAGGAAGGGGAGCAGAGAACATATGGCTGGAGACAAAATTTAAGACCCTAGTCTAAGACCCTTGTGCTGTACACTGTGGTAGCCATGGAGCCATAAGTGGCTACTGAGCCCTTGCCATGTAGCTAGAGTCACTGAGGAACTGAACTTTTGATTTTATTTAACTTTCATTCATTTAAATCTAGAAACTGATATCTAGTTCACTTATAGAAAACTTTTTAATATGTTTGGAAGAACATGAGTATTTTTTTGCTGTAAATTTTATGAAATCTAAATACTGTGATCATGTATCTCTCTCTGATGAAAATTTTGGGTCCAAATTGAGATGTGCTCTAAAAATACATATGAGATTTTGAAAACTTAGCATAAAAGGAATGTAATAACTATGAATAATTTTTATATCGAGTACATGTTGAAATATTAATATTTAGGGCATATTGAGTTAAATATACCAAAATTAGTTCTAGCTTAAATTTTTTCATTTTAATGTAGCCACTAGAAAATTTAATATTACATGTGACTGCCTTGATAACACCTCTTCA